AAACACTGCATGTTCAAAATCGGGATAGGAGTGCATCAAGGATACATCCTGTCCCCATATCTTTTCAATCTGTATGCAGAACAGATCATTCAGGAAGAAGGGCTTTATGAGGAGGAGTATGGAATCAAGATTGGAAGATTCTTTAACAACCTACGATATGTAGATGATACAAGCTTGCTTGCTGAAACTGAAGATCTGAAGCACTTGCTGCAAAAGGTCAAGGATTGTACTCTTCAATATGGATTGAAGCTCAACATCAAGAAGACAAAGATTCTCACCACTGGGCCAGCTGACAGCACCGTAATAGATGGAGAAGAGATTGAGGTTGTTAGCAATTACAGCTTGCTCGGACCCACAATCAACACTCATAACACCAGCAGTTAGGAAATCAAAAGATTAATTGCACTGGGAAAATATGCTGTTATGGACCTCTCCAGAGTGCTGATAATCCAGGCCATGATCTTCTCAATTACTTGTTATGCTTTGGAGAGTTGGACAATGACTAAGGATGACAGAAGAGGAAGAGTTGTGGTGCTGGATAAGAGTCTTGAACATATCATGGACTGCCAAGAAAACAAATATGTCTAACTTGGAGAGGGTGAAACCAAGTTTCTCCTTGGAGGCTAGGATTTTGAAGCTCTGCCTCACTTACTTTGGGCATGTGGCCAGGAGAGATCAATCCTTGAAAAAGGACATCATGCTCAGAAGTGGGGACAGTGCTTCAACGATTTAGATCCTCCCAGAAGAGCTGCGCATGCGCATTAACATTACTGGTAAGTATATTCATTTTCTCCTGGACACAGAGCCTACTAATTGGCCCTAAAAGCCTTCTGAGGTCCCAACTCTTCTCACTATCTCTTAGTTGTTGGAATGGATGGAAAACCTCACAAGCAGTTCCTTACTTCACCTCTACGTTGCATGCAAATTTCTGAGTTGTAAAACAACCCAGTGGTAAATGGAATTTGCTCCAGGACTTAAGAACCATAAATGACATAGCTGAGCCTCTACATCTTGTGGTTCCTAACCTCTACACTGCAATAGACAAAGTGCTAGTCTATAGGCCTTTTATTGTAAGAACCACCTTCCCTCTGTAACTTGATTTGTGCCACTATTAGAAC